TCTTGTAGAACAACTCTGTCAATTAGCATAACATAGTACTTAATGTTCTACATCCTAGTTTGATGAGTAGCTGGGGTGTTAAAAGCTTGCAAGTGACCATGTAAGATACAACTATTGGTCTCTTCCCACTTGGAGCAAAGGAATGTAAAAAAAAAAAACCACAAAGACTCCAGGAAAAAATTAGTCCCCAGGACTAATGGCTCAATAAAACTTCAGCTTTTCCTATCCTGAGATCAGAAGAGCTAGACGGTGCCCAGCTGCCACTACCTACTGTTCTGTCCAAGAACAGAATAGAAGGTAATGGTTAGAAAGGGAGAAAAAAATGTAGAACAAAACTAAAATTCCTAAAATGTCAAGACTTTATGCTCTGATACAGACAAAGGAACCTGCAAGACTATTCCCCTAAAATACACTTTGAACTTGGAACTGAAGCTGCTCCTGATGGTTGCCTTTCACCCAAATAATAGATTAGTTTATAAAATAAACAGTATCACCTGTGAGTACTGTGTTTCTTTAAATTAATCAACTGTGTGAGTATGAAACCAAACAGTCAACATTTATCTTAAAGCAAAGATGAGACACTAAGAGGGGCAGGGACATTATATTAATGGAAACAGAATACAAGAATGGAAATAATGAGAATGTTGACACATTGTGAAAAAGGTAACCAATGTCATGGAAAAAAATTCTATAAAAATTGTTAAATGGACACCTAATTTGATATGTAAATTTTTACTTAAGACACTATGTTGTTGTTAAGTACCATCGAGGTGGTTCCAACTCAAAGCCACCCTGTACAGGGTTTCCAAGGAGTGGCTGGTGGACTTGGATCATCTACCTTGCAGTTCAAGCCAACATTGCAGTCCAGTACATTAACCCACAGCACCACACCAGGACTCCATATAATCATATACGTTAATGAAACGGAGAAGGTTACAGGGAGCATATTTGCTGGGGAAGATCTACATTTTCTCGAAAACCTAGATCTCATCTTAAATATTGAGTGAGCTCCAGATTATCACAGATCATTTGTAAAGCATATAATCCACTAGGTTTGAAGTGGTGAATTTTCTCAGTTCTGTTACTTTGGGTTTTGGTTCTAGGTGCAAGTATGAACCAGACTGCAAAGACAAGTGTGGCATCACACCCTTTATGGATGCAATTCAGTGTGGTCACGTCAACATAGCTAGACTGCTTCTTGAAAAACATAAGGTATAGAAATTGCTTGAGTTATCCCTACAAATTTTATATCATAGGAAAAGCAGAAAGCGTAGTTAGTAATTCAGACCCTGGGTTTAAATTCCAAATTGCCAATTCCACCTGTGAGACCCCTTGATCTCCTAGGCATTAG